ATCTTGGCACTCTCTCTGTAGACCAAGCTGACTTTGAACTCAGATCTGCCTGACTCTGCCTCCCTAGTGCTGGGATTAAAGGAGGGCACCACACAGCTTCCTGCCTGCTTTCTTATAGAACCTAGGACCACCATCCCAGGGATTTAGAACCACCCACAATGGGCTGGGCCCTCTCCCATCTCTAATTAAGAAAATGGCCTACAGCTGGATCTTGTGGAGGCATTTTCTCAAGTCATTTTCTCTTCTGACTCTAACCTTTGTCAAGTTGACATAAAACTAGCCAGAACAGGAAGGGTAGGGAGGAGGATTAGGATGGGCTTTGTTTCATTCAGACATCAGTTCTGTTTCCACTCTACTTATTAGCAGTGTAAGATTTATCCCAGTATCTTCATCTCCGAAGTGGAGTGAAGTGATATATTATTTATGATTTATTAAAGCATGCCTGAGGATTCAGAAAGCAAAGCCAATCACAAGCCATAGGAGCCAGGCACACACCTTTAATCCCAGCAGCCAGAAGCTAGGGGTGGTGGTAGGGATCTCTCTGAGTTCAAGGCCACCCAGGGATAACGAGATTGAAACAGTATAAAAGAATAACAGAGCTCACACCTTTAATCCCAGCACTAGAGAGATATAAAAGATAGACATAGGGTCTTCAGTAGTCAGTAAAAGGCATTCATTCCCCAGCCATAGTGAAGATAGGAAGGCTCAGTATCAAGGAAGATAGGAAGACATTGAAGTCTCAGGATTCTCCAGCCACGCTGAGGAGAGGCAGCAGTTTGAGACTTGGTGAAGAGCTTGTGTGTGGATCAGACCTTTCAGCCTGAGCTTGAGGTGAGAGCTAGTTCTGTTCTTCAGCTTGAAGTTTGAACCCCAATATCAGTCTCTGGGTCTTTTATTTTTCGTGTTACAATGGAGCTAATAATACATTTTGTAAAGTTGGGGTGGAGATTAAATCAGTAAAGATGTGCCCAGCCAGAACACGATAGAGATTCTGAATTGTATTTTTTTTTCATGCTCTCTTTTATTTTGAAAGAATAAAAAGGGTTTTTGTTTTGTTTTTTAAAGGCAGAAGTCTTTGAGGATACAATAGTTATTTTCACTTTTAAAAAGTGTGCGTGCGTGCGTGCGTGCGTGCGTTTGTGACGTATAGAGGAGAGTGTGGGAACACAAGAGCCACTGAATGTGTGTATGTGAAGGTCGCTTGGGCGTGGTCCTTCTTGTTCTGCCTACTCCAGCTAGCTGAACCGAGAGCTACCGAGCTACTGGATGATCAGTCTCCTAATTTCTGTTTTTATAGCTGTTGTGAATAAGATTGCTTTCTTGATTTCATTTCCAGCAAGTCTACTACTGTTGTATCAAGTGCTACTAAATTTTATATGTTGATTTTTTTTTTTTGTGCACTGAAATTTTTACTGAATTCATTTTTAAATCTCTACTACAGTCTTTTGGTGTTTTTTTCCCCCTGCTTATAGTCACATCTCTTGCAAACAGTGATCATTTGACTTTGTATTTACTATTTGGACACCTTTTACTTCTCTTACCTAATGTTACGATTAAGACTTCCAGTGCTGGGCCAGTGAGATAGCATAATGGGTGAAGGTACTCCATGCAGCCAAGAGTAAAGATCTGACTTTTATTCATGTGATCCACATGGTGGAATGAAAGAGAACTGACTCCTTAAAGCCATCTTCTGACCTCCACATTCATGCTGTGGCACATGCACAAAAGCATCTACCACAAACACATACATCTTTTTTATTTATTTAAAAGGGACTGGAGAAATAATTCAGTGATTAAAAGCACTTAGTGTTCTTTCAGATGACCAGAGTTTAATTCCCAGCATCTACATCTGGATGTTCACAACTACTTATAACTCCAGCTCCATGAGATCTGATAACCCCTTGTGGCCTCTGTTGGAACCTACACATAGGTGCACATATGCACATACTTGTGCACACGTGTACACACACACATATACTCTAGCTTATGTGCCTTCAAATGTGGGCACAAGTGGTTGGAGGGGTCACACATTATAATATTTTATTTTTTTACCAATTCTATTTATATTGCCTTCAGAAGGCTGAGGCAAGAAAATCATGAATTCCAGGCTAGCCTGGAATTTGAGGGCTACCCTACCTCAAAATAAATAAATTAAATAATAAATCTTAATTAGAAACATTGAAGGATTTAGGTGGTTGTGGTGGTACATGCCTTTAATCCCAGCACTCGGAGGCAGAGGCAGATGGATCTCTTTAATGAGGCCAGCCCGGTCTACAGAGTGAGTTTCAAGACAGCCAGAGCTACATAGTGAGACCCTGTCAGTAAATAAGTAAATAAATAAATATAAAGAAACATTGAAGAATGATCCTGTAATTTTCCTCTAAAAGTCATCTGAAAATAACACAATAGAAACATGGTTGTCTGTGTCATACAATCTCTTACAGGAAGCTGAATGTAGATTTTAGTCACTTAGTTTCCCAGATTACACCCCTTGATTCTCTTCTTGAGAAGTGGCACATCTCTAGATTGGTAATTAAGTGACAACTTGGCTACTTTAGTTCTAAAGCAGATCAGGGTAGAGTGATGAATTTTCTTTGGAATTCAAAGGATTTATGTAACAGCATATTAACAGAGATACATTATTAAAGCTCTAGTATTTACAGATCCCAAAGAAGCTTTTTGGGGATTTAGGGAATTAATCTTTGACTTTTAAAACTAGCTTTCCACTGTTAGTCAGAATACCAATGAGGGCTAAAAACCACAGGGGGGTAGTTAGGTGGGCTGGGCTTGATTGCCTTACTGGATGGATTGTGGTAAAGTATGTGAGGACTTTTCCCGGGTCATTCCTTCTACTCCACACTGTTGTCCTGCTCTGAGCCCTACTTTCATAATTGCCAACTTGATAGGAAATAGAATCCATGTAAGAGACAAACCTCCCTGAGGGGGGTTTCTAGACTGGATTAATTGAGATGGGAAGAGGTACCCTGACTGGGTGGCATCACAAGGTCTTCTCTGAATAAAAAAGGAGGAAGCAAGTCAACTACCATTGTCACCTCACTGCCCTGCTGCCACTTAAACTGTGAGCCCTTATAAACCCTTCCTTAAGCTGTTTTTCTGAGATGTTTTGTTAGAGCAACTTGGAAAGTAATTACACCTCCCAACTTAGGGCCTCTGCACTGAGTGGTTTTCTTTGTTTTGTTTTGTTTTGTTTTGTTTTTAACCTAAAATGCTCTTTCCCTCCACTGTCTACTTCGTTGCCACATGTAGTTTCCTTTGAGCCTTTTGGATATGGAACTTCTCAGTATACCTTACCTTGATTATTGTTTAATATTGCAGTGTTCTAACTCCAATGCATTTCTTTCTTTTTTTGTTTTTGTTTTCTGAAGCAGAGTTTCTCTGTCTAGCCCTGACTGTCCTGGAACTCACTCTGTAGACTAAGCTGGCCTCGAACTCAAGAGATTTGATTGCCCAAAAAAAAAAAAAAAAAAAAAAAAAGTTTTAAAATGGACGTGGGGGGACTTAAAAAAATCTTTGAAACACCTTTTTTTTTTTTTAAAAAAAATTTTGTTTATTTGGTTTTATGTAAGTACTTATTTTGCCTGCATGTATGTCTTTGCATCATGTGTATGCCTGGTGCCCACAGAGGCCAGAAGAAAATGTCAGAGTTATAAATGGTTGTGAGCAGCTATGTGGGTGCTAGGAATTGAAACCAGATTGATTGGCAGATCAGCCAGTACTTATAACCATGAAGTCATCTTTCCAATACAGATTCTGATTATTTCCTTAGAAATGAATTGTAGAAATAACTTTTTAAAAGTAGATTACATTACCGGTGAGGACTAGAGGCTTGGGAGTTCCATGGTTACAGAGCTTCTATTTGAGATGGCAGAAATATTTTAGGAACATACAGAGGACAGTTGTAAAGCACTAAGAAAGTAATGAAGTGTCTGAATTGCTCAGATAGTATATGAGTTAACTTTTCTGATCACTGAAACAAACTACCTCAGAGAAATAACTCAAGGGGGATGTATGTTAGCTCATGGTTTCAAGGAATAGTCCATCATGGCAGTGAAGGCCTGGCAGTTTTGGCATGATCCGTGAGGGCAGAGCTTGCAATTGGTTACAAATGGCAGCAGATAGGAAACCAAGATGGGATGTGAAGCAGAGCCAAGTTATAACTTCCCAGAACAGTGCTAACAGAGGGGGACTAGGTGTCAAACACATAAGCCTGTGGAGGGACATTAAGCATTTAAACCATAACAAGTAGCTAAAATGACAAATTTTGTGTTTAGTACATTAGGGAATTTCAAAACAATAAAACAGTGTATAGGGCTGACTAGATAGTTCATTGGATTAAAGGCTCTTGCCACACAAACCTGGTGACCTGAGATTGCTCTCTGGATTCCACATATAGCAGAAAGGAGAGAATTGACTCCACCAGGTTCTTCTTTGACCTCCACAAATGTGCAGTGGTGTGAGTGTGCATGTACATTCATGCCCGCACACATTGGTGTACACAAATAAAATCTTTTTAAGTAGGACTTACTTTTAAAAATAAGAGAATATATTGAAAACCATCTGAGGGCCAGTAAGATGGCTCAGTGGGTAAAAGTGTATGCCTTCATGTGTGCATGCACACAAAATAAATATGATAATAATAAAAGAAAACTGTATGAACAAAATAAGTACCAAAACTGTTAGTGCTGAAGGGGTTACCTTTTGGGGAGAGAGTAAGTAATGTTGTATCAGGAATGTGTTGGTAGGCTTATTATATGTTTTATTGTGTGAATGTCTGTACTGTTTCTTCCATTCTACAGTGAAGATATAGACATATTGCATGTATTGTTTTTTAAAAATAGGATTGCACTGTTTGGTGACTTTTCTCTTGAAAGTTTGTAACCTGTTCATGTATACAGTCAGAAATAGTAAAAATACTGAAAACCAAGCCTCCCTAGTCCCCTTGTCTAACTAAGTGAGGTTTTTCTTATATGTCTTTGTAGGTTACCCCACAGCCTACCCGGCAGCTGCCCCTGCCTACAATCCCAGCCTGTACCCGACCAATAGCCCCAGTTATGCTCCAGGTAAGCAATGGGTGGGAGCAGCAATGGTGAAGAGGGTGGAATCAAGCCTCCATTTGTAAAAACAAATCCACCAGTTGGCCCTTCCCTTGAGACTGTCTTGGAGTCAGCCAGTTCTGGCTTAATTCTCTTTGGAATCCCCTCTGGGAACTGGGACAGAACAATCTCTGATTGGGAGTGGGAGTAGAATCTCCTTCATGCTCCTTGGGACTTGAGGGTGGCCCCTTTCTCCTCTGCTAGAATATATGAGACATGCCTCCACCCCATAGAACTGCTTCATTTCTCTCAAGCAATGTCCAAATTAATTTTTACTCAGTCTTGCCTGAGGCTGCCATTGGGAATCACTCTTTCTCTCTCTCTTTTCCTCCATTCCACTTCTTTCTCCTTCCTTCCCTCTTCTTCTGGGGTGTAAATTTGGAATAGAGTGAGAGACTTGCCACCAGAGTAAAGAGCCTTTTTACAGGCTGAGACAATTTACTTTTTTTTTTTTTAGAAATAGAAGTACATATAACACTTCTTGAACAGAGAGATTGAAATGGGTTTGAAATACTGAAGAGGTAGGTGCTAGGCATGATGGCATACACTGAAGCTGAGGCCACAAGTCTGAGGCCAGCTTGAGTTCATAGTAAGAAAGAATCTCCACACACACACCCCTAAAAAAAGCTAGTGAAAGAAAATATTGAAAGGATCTTTTTTCTTCCTGTTTTGGGGCCAGGACCATTATTGGTGTTTTAACCAATGATGTAAATCCTGGACTCAGTCAGTGCTCAACACCCATGATCAGAAGAAGGAATGGGCTCTGTGGTTTGGAAGTTCTGGGTTTGAATCATGATTAGTCTTCTCCCTAAGTATATAGCGTTACCTTTCTGAAATTCACATGTAACCACTTTCCTCAGGGTTGCAGGATTTTACTTAAGTTCTTTATTCACTCACTAAGCATTTGTTGAATGTCCTCTATCTATACTGGGATAGAAAGGTAAATATTGTCATCTTTGCCTGAAGGGGCTCATAGTTAATTTTGGATCCTGGTATATTAATAAATAAATTGTACTACAATATAATAAGTAATATAAAAGAACACATAGAGCAGAGGTAGAACCACAGTCTACCTGGAGGTGATAGTAGGGGGAATTTCACAAAGGAACTAACGTAGGGACTTGAGGCAGAAGTAGGAGGTGCCTTTGAAGCACACAGGGGAGGAGGGTGCATTAGTGGGCAGAGCATGCTTCTAAAGACACGGCAGAGGTGTGGAACCTGACTGCTGAGCCTAGAACCAGCAGGAGGGGTTGAAGTGTAGACTGGGGGACTGGATGAATCTGAACTACAGACTACAAGGAACAAATTTGGAAAGACCTTAAATGTCACATCCTCCTTCCTCCATTTTCTTATTTAGTGAATATTACGGAATTGAAAAGCCCCCAGGGATTCTTTAATTCAACCTCCTTTGTGGTTAAGACACCCTGGAGAAGAGCTGTGCTGTCCCATGTTACCTGTTACCTGACAATAGCTTATAGATGAGAATCTTGGGCAGGTTTCCTGTCCTATGCTTTTCTGTGCCAATCTAGTATTCATTCTATAGTCATCTCTTTCTTCTGAGGGGTTTAAGACAGAAAAGAACATGGGCTGTGTTTGTAGACCTGTATTTGAGCCCTGGCATTATTATCATATTACAGACATGCTGTGAAGTTACAGGCAGCTCCCTCATTTATTTTTCTTTTGGCTTGTTTATACAGCCGTGGACTATTCAAGGCAGGCATGATGGTGAACATCTGTAATCTCAATACTTGGGAACTAGAAGCAGAGGATCAAAAGTTGAAGTATATCCTGTGCTGCATAGCAAATCAAAACTAGCCTGAGCTACACAAGAACCTGACAACCCCCCAAACAAATTGTTTTTGTATAGTGATAGATGTGTCCTGCATTATTAGTTGCTTTTGTTCTACTATTATCAAAACACCTGAGAAAACAACTCAAGAGAAGGAAAATACGTTTTATTTCACCATTTCACAAGGTTCAGCTCATAGTCTCTTGGTTCCATGTGCTTGGGGAGAACACCATGGTCCTAGGAAAGTGTGGCAGAAGGGAGCTGTTTACTTCATAGCTAACAGGAAGTAGAGAGTAGCAATATAATGAAGCCTGGGCAAGATGCAGCCCTGAAGGGTACACCCATGACCTGCTTCCCCCATCCAGACAGGACATTCTACCATTTCTTCATAATCTGTTCCAATTTGGAATGCATAGGTGAATTAAATGATTCTTTCATTGGTTCTGAAAGCTATGTGGGTACCTGGGCTTCTTCCCAAGTGATTATCAATTTAACTTCACAGGAGGCAAAATCTGGCCAAGATTTCTTCTTCAGAATCCAGGGAGCAAAGGGTTTATCATGTTCCTGATAATAGAAACTTGAAAGTGAAAAGGATAAATAGGAAACTAATGTCAAAACTCTCTTATAGAAGCATGTCCTCATCTCTTGTCTCATTTGAATTATAATGCCACTGAAGTATGTATATAGTTTTCCCATTCCCATTTTGGTTATTACAAACTTGGGGGGAAATAATCTGTTTCTAAACACCTGCACATTGAAGCTCTGTGCAAGGCAAGTCACAAATGTGCCAATGGGCCTTTTTAACTTTTTGTTGTAAGCTAGAGTTTCTTGCCTCCAGTTTAGTTCAGAGAACTTTAAGTAACTTTCAAAATTAGATTTAAAATGCCATGGATCTAAGATTCAAACCCATTTGTCTGACCCCATAGCCATGTGTTTTGTACAGCATAACACTGTCCTAGATGGAATGTCTCTGAGAGGCCTGTGATGGCCATGATTATCCCCTGAGCCTTCATTTTTTTCCTCATTGTAAAGTCTCTGTCACGCCTGAAATCCCTCAGCAGTTCTTGGGAGAATTGAAATGGTCTTAATATGGACAAGCAAAGAACAGGGCCTTATGCCTGTTCATATCCAGGCAGTTTTTGGTCCATTCTCTGGAAGATCCTGTGGCATCCAGGGAGGTAGGTGCTTCTTTGCAACTAATAAACTTTGCTGGATGGCAAGTCTGTCACCCTTTCCAGGGGGAGGTACTTCCCATTCTCTCCATTCACTGCTTCTTATGCAGCCTGGGGGAAACTGCTATCTTGAAACAAGTCTGTTATGTAACTGCAATATGTACAACTTTGCACAAATTCTTAGTGGTAATTTCAACTAACATTTCTATCCAACAGAGTTTCAGTTCCTGCATTCAGCTTATGGTAGGAGAGCTATTTTTCCTCATCTGTATTATGGCCTATGAATGTGTTATCTTGTAACAATGGTAGATTCCCTTTCCTTTCCTCCCCAAATCCCACCTCCTAGGCTTGGGCTCCCCCAGGTGGCTCAGCAGTAGTTCCTATAGCATGCAGGAACATGTCTGATGGTGCAAAATCATGGGTTGGAGACACACATGAACCATTCCCATAGGGCAGTAATGAAGGATCATGGCACTAAAAGGCGTCTCACACCCTAACCTGGCTGCCTGATTCAAACAAATGAATGAAAATTCTAGGGCCTGTGTGTGGCTCCTCTGTTCGCTTTATGGTAGGCTCTGAGGAGCCCCTTCCTTGATTATGTCTAAAGCACAGTCAGATGGCCCCAGGATCAGATTTTCCTTTCCATTAGCAGTCTGACATGTTTGAAGACCTGGTTGACTTTAGATACACTCTGTTGCCGTCATCCTCATCTTGAGCTCTGGCCTCATTTTCAGAGCATTTTTCTGAATGATGAAAGGTATGGGCCAAGTGTGCCAGTGGGTGAAAGATCTAAGTTGAGTTCTCTGGGCAGTGTGGACTCCAGGCCCAAGGCACCACGGGAACTTCTGGGCACCTGTGAGGGTCCCAGCAGTGTAACTTGACTAGGTCCTTCTTGTTGTAGACAGTAAGGGACCATGGGAGAAACTTGCCACTTTTACCACACTCACCTGGGCTGCTCATGATGCTTTTGTAAAATCTTTTAATGTTTTTCCAACTTTTAATCTTGCTGTTGAAAAGTGAATTTTTTATGTATGGTACATACATCTTTCAGAAAGATGAGCTGTGAAATTTCTTTTTACTGCTGCTGTGGGCTGTGTGATCTTGGGCAACTTGCTAATGTCCCCAGGTCATAGAGTTTTTCATGTCACATGATCTCAAGGTTCTTTTAAATGTTAACATCCCATCCACTTGTAATTTTTATTATTTCAGTAGTGCTAGCTATAGAACTCTGTGCTAGCTACTCACTTATGAGAGTTTTTTTTTTTTTTTGGTTTATTTGTTTGCTGCAGAATATATGAACTCGAACAAGACTCTAAAAAGTTAGAGAAAAGGTGTATGCTTCCTCATCCTTCCAGTTATAACAGCAGTTTTCAGCCTGAAACCCCTTTGGGGTCAAACAAACCCTTTCACAGGGGTCATCTAACATCATATGAAAACACAAATACTTACATTTTGATTCATAACAGTAGCAAAATTACAGTTATGAAGTAGCAACAAGAATAATTTTATGGCTGGGGTCACCACAACATGAGGAAGTGTATTAAAGGGTTGCAGCATTAGGAAGGTTTAGAAACATTAAATTAGAACTTCTAATGTGAAGAAGTGTGGATGGAGCACTTCATAGAGTGTTCTTTGAAGATATAAAGACCAGTAAGACAAGGTCCCCATTGTCTAGAAACTCAGAATTAGTTGGGAAGATACTCAAGGCAACCAGTTACAGAGGCCTGTAAGACTCACAGGAACTGGATAGTCAATTATGTGGGATGATGAGGTCAGAGAATGGTCAGAGGCAAAGATTTCTTAGTTGAATCAAGTCTTTAACTTGTGATTGGTTACTTAGTACCCATGTGCCAGGTGGAGTGTGAAGAGAGATGTGCTGGAAGAGCTAGTAGAGGGCACAAAACCAGAGAAGTAAAGTTCCTTGGCACACTCTGGGAATGGTAAAGAGTTTGTGCACACTAGTGTGGGTTGGAGCGTGAGATGATTAGAAAACTAAGAGAGATATGTCAGTCAGGAAGAAGATAGTGGTCAAGAAATAGGACCAGCTTATAAAATCTCAGAGTCCATCCCTAGTGACCTACTTATACCAAGGCTCTGCCACCTAAAGTTTCCACAACCTTCCAAAATACCACCTCCAATCAGAGACCAAGTGCTTAGACTTATAATCCAATGCAGGATATTTCAGTTCAAACCACAAGAGATCATCAGTGTTGGGTCAGGGGAATCTTGGGTACAGACTATAGGTAACAGAACCACGGAATGTTTCTGAGAGTTTTATGATTCAGCTTTGAGACCAGTATGGCTGCTGCTTGGAGATTAGAAGGGACAAGTTAAAAGAAACTGACCCAAAGCATTAAGAAGCAGTTGAAGTGGCTGAGGTGAGAGATGATTGGAAAATGAACCAGAGCTGGCCACCTCTGTAGGGATAGAAGCATACAGCTACCAGAACTAAAAGCCATGAAGACTGATGATCCATCAAGACTGTGATTAGTACTACTAGCTTACAATACAACAAAACTGAAGCTCAGACAATTAAGTGACTTGCCCAAAGTCTCACAGCTAGAGCAGAGCCCAGGCTAGATCTCAGATTTCCTGACTCAGTACATGGTTCAGGATGATGGTCCCTTGCTGCCTCTCTTTGTAAATGTGCTTAACAGATTGTTCTAGTGTCAAAGGGTGTGAGGGTCCCATATCCAGGAAGTGAACAACTCAGCAGCTAGATGTGGGCCGCCTGCTACGACAGGGGTCATAGCTCTTCACATGTTTATGATTTTCCCCTCTCTGTCCTTTTTACACATCTGTATTAAGTATATAAAGTCTTAAATGAACAGCTTAATAATGTTTTTCAAATGTGATACACCTGTACTCAATTATCGCTTAATTCAAAGGATAAAACATTTTTAGGAAGTAGTTCCTTTTCAGCATCCCAAACAGGTCTGCCTGTCACTCTCTGTCACCATGCTGCTAAAAGCTTCATTCATTTGGGACTGATTTTCTGCAGCAGCTGAGCTCTGCATTACTACCATCATCAGAAAGGGTTACTGTAGAGTTGAACAGAGAGACAGAATCAATCATACAGTTAATGAAGAGGTTAAGTTGGCTGCTAAAAATTCGTTTTCACATTTTTCTAATTGTTTAAATTATTAACTATTCTAGCATAAGGAAAAGATACAGCCAGGCATGGTAGTGCATGCCTTTAATCCCAGCACCCAAGGGGGCTAAGGCGGGTGGATCTCTGTGAGCTCGAGACCAGGCTGGTCTGCAAAGCAAGTTCCAAAACAGCCAGAACTGTTACACAGAGAAACCCTGTCTCAAAAAAACAAACAAACATGGGCTGGAGAGATGGCTCAGAGGTTAAGAGCACTGACTGCTCTTCCAGAGGTCCTGAGTTCAATTCCCAGCAACCACATAGTGGCTCACAACCATCCGTTATGAGATCTGGTGTCCTCTTCTGGTATGCACATATACATGGAAGCAGAATGTTGTATATATAATAAATAAAATCTTAAAAAATAAGTTTATAAAAAAACAAACAAACAAAAAACCCCAAAGAAAAGATACAAAAAATGTTGTTTGCTTTCTGTATATAATAAAACCAGAAGAAACTTCCCCTTTATTTGGAAAATGTAAAGTTTAGCCTAAGTGATCATTTAGGAAAGACCATCAATAACACAATGGCACTTGCTTCTTTCCCAATTAATACGCAACATTATTTTACTATGACATGCTGTCTTGTTCACTCCCTGGTTGATGTGTGGCTGAGTTGCATCCCCAGTAGACCTTGTAAGTACCTTGTGTGTAGTGATGTAATCCACGTGTGTTCCTGTCCACCGTGGCACTCTCCTCAGTGCTGAGTGTAGTTAGGCTTTAGTACTCTGTGGCTAATTTTGATTTAACTTCCGTTGTCACACAGTCCTTCAGGCAATTGTCAGACTTTTGGCTTATAATGAAAATTATAAGTATGCCCCACTCGGAAGAAGAAAAAAAAAACCAAAAACAAAAAAAGGAACAAATCAGGACCTCTAAATTTTCCAAATTCTTACAGCCAAAAAACCAAAAACAAAAAAGGAACAAATCAGGACCTCTAAATTTTCCAAATTCTTACAGCCAAATTTAGACATCTTGGTCCTTGGTAGAGCCTCACTGAGATCTCAGGGCATGGAATTGCTCTACGTGGCTTCTCAGAGTTACATATTTGACACAGCAGGGAGTTGTTTGGGGATTGTTGTGGCCTTCCAGCCATATGGAATGTCAATCCCTGAATTTGGAGACATTGTGAAAAGATTTTTTTTTGACACTTAATTGGGTCCTTCCACCCTCTGGAGAAAGACACCAAAGATATTTATTTAAAGCAGATTCCCTCCTCCTGCAGGGGCTACACAACTGTGTCTGGCTGTCTAGCAAAGGCTCTGGGCTCTACATGGAGTTGTGCTGTCTCCATTTTTCTTGCCAGATTCTCCTTTTAGTGTCACTTTCCTGCCCATGATTTCCTTCTCATTCCTCAGCATTTGCTGTATATATTGCGGGCCATTAATGCAAGCAGAGTCAGCCTATGCAGCTACATTCTGATTCTAGTTCAGAAAAAACAGCAGAATCCACAGCCTTCTCTAGCCAGTATAATTCTGTGATAGAAGGAACAGAGTTGTAAACCAAGAGGCAAAGGCATTGTAGAATCTCTCTGGAGGTAGCAGACCCTGTAGGAATCAATATAACCAACACGTACTTTCTTCTTATGCTTCCCTGTCTTTCCTTACCCCCTTTTCAAATATTTCAAGGTCATCTGGTTGTTGCCAGTCCAGCGCCACTTCTGTTAATATACTTTAAAACACTGTGCCCAAAACTCCCATCTTATTAGAATGTAAAAGATGTTATAAAGAAAAAAAAAATTATCCTTTTTTTAAACCATAAAATAGAAATTTGGATTAAAAATGTATCTCCTCTGGTATTTGAAAGGATAGTTTTCCTTTCTTTGTTTCTTTCTTTTTTAAGGCATCCCCCCCCATTTCCTCTCTCTCCTTCCCCTCAGGATACCATGACGGTAAGTTTTTTAAGTCATCCCCACTTCTAGAACACTTAATGAAATAACATACCTACCGCAATTTTGACACTTTCATAATGGGCAAATGGTCATCTCTAACTCATGAGGCGCTGTCTCAGTGAAGTATACAGTAGCACCTACTAGGAGATTTTCAGACATATGCAAAAGGTATATTTATCTAGCCCTGGCTGGTATGCAGCAGGAGTTGGCAAAGAGTGCCCCATTGCATAGCTAGCTAATAGTGCAGCCACAGAGCCCAGGCCTTTTAGGTGCCATGGCCACAGCTCAGTCTATTAGAGGTGATGCTGTCCCAGCAAGGCTCATGTAAAAGGGTAGTTACTTGTTAATTTCTCTTTGGAAGCAGCTCATAACTTTTTTTCCGTTTGGTTTTGGTTTCAGTTTTCCAAGACAGAATTTCTGTGTGTAGCCCAGGCTGGCCTCAAACTCACAGAGATCCTCCTCCCTCTGCCTCCCAAGTGCTGGGATTAAAGGAATGCACTACTACACCCAGTGCAATTTACAATTTATTAACCATACCACCAGATAAGGTTTCAGACCAGAGGGAATTTTTTAAGACTCAGTTAAGCTAGCCCAGTACACTGTTAAAGAATTCCAAGTTACTTCATATTAATGAGAAAGTGGTAGAAGAATATACCACAGTCTTAGATCAGAAGGTTAGGTAGAAGAGTGATGTTCATAGGCATCTTCATGGTTTTAGTCATAGATAGAAAAATCCTGACTGTCAGTATATTTAAGTGTAGGCTTCCTTGGATTTAAGTCATTTGGAAGCTCACTTCAGCACTCCTTCCAACCCACTATCCCATCCCAAAAAGGCTGAATCATTCTGTGTGTCTGAGCAGGCTCCTTGAGTTATGTTTCTGTCTAGCACAAGACCCTTGCTTTTGTGTTTGTAATTGGTGGTACCCAGGTCTTTCTTCTGCCTAATGCCATTCTTGTGTCTTCCCTTAAGCCACTCTGCTGATGAAACAGGCCTGGCCACAGAACTCATCTTCCTGTGGCACTGAAGGCACCTTCCACCTTCCAGTGGACACCGGGACCGAGAACCGAACTTACCAAGCGTCCTCTGCAGCTTTCAGTAAATACAGCCTGTCTCTTCCTCTCCTTGTTCCCCTTGGTCGGGACTGATTTGTTCGTTAAGAAGAAAGGAAAGGGAATTTTTAAAATGACATTTTTAGTATAAACATTGTTTTAAGAGGTCCTCCTACTCATGCAAAAAAAAAAAAATGGCCTTTGTCATTCAATAAAGATGATCATCTTTTGATCATGCCTTCAGCTTTAGGATACCCATAGCAGCAAGGGAGGAGCACCCCAGGCCCCCAGGCCAAGAAGTTGGATTTGTGAAAGACTACTACTTCATTTTAGGGGAAAAGATCAAGGCACAGTTGAAGGCTTTGTTTGTTTCTTCCCATCCACAGGGTTTCTTGACCTTAGCACTATTGGCATTTGGGACAGATGAATTCTTTCCTATGCATGATAGGATGTTTAGCAGCAACTGTTAGCTTCTCTGTGTTAGATACCAGTAGCAAAGCATCATTGTCGCTGGAGAAGAAAACTGCCCTCTATATAAGAAATACTGCCCTAGTTCATGTAAGCTACACTATGGAAACATGGTATGACATGGACAGAAGCCAGCCGCCAGATTGGTCATGTTTAACCTGAGCGAACTGATGTTGTCACCTTTACAGCTGATTGGTAACACAAATTATTCCCATAAGGACCATCATTTAGAAACTACTGAGTGGAAGAACTTGTGCCTGTGGCAGCTGTTGGGCATGGGAATGCCTGGCTTTGGATGTGATGAGCGCTGGTTTCTGAATTTATGCCAGCATGAGCTGGACAAGCCATTAGCAGAATGTTGTAGAAGAATAACTTACTGGGCAGGCTAGGAAAACTCATTGAATTTGTTTTCTTTTAAATATCCAATGTCATTGCTTTTCAGCCTTTTGGCTGAGATCAAGTGTAAAATATCCAGTGTTGGGGCTGGAGAGATAGCTCAGCAGTTAAGAGCAATGGACTGCTCTTTCAGAGGACCCCGGTTCAATTCCGAACACCCACATTGCAGCTCACCACCATCTGTAACTCCAGTTCAGGTAACCCAGTGCCCTCTTTGTGTATTAGGCACAAATGTGGGACACATACATGCACACAGTCAAATTTATATACATAAAATAAGAACAGATCTTTTAAAATAAATAAATATCCAATGTCAAGCCTGGCATGGTGGCACATGCCTGCAATCCTATCGCTCAGGAGGCAGAGGCAGGTGGGTCTCTCTATAAGATAAAAGCTAACCTTGTCTACATAGTGATTTCTAGGCCAGCCAAGGCTACATGGTGAGCTCTTTTCTTTAAAAAAACATCAATAACAACAACAAAACCAATGTTGTTTTCTCCCCGTTGTCCCTGTCCTCACATGTCAATGTCTACTAACTCAGCATGGTGTACCTTTTATAAATTCTGCTTTCAAAATCAGCCCGTTGTTCAGTCAACATTATAGTCCTATGAAAGTTTGGGTGGACTTTTATCCCACTTTAAAAGTGCAAAAAAATTAAAAAAGGCAATGTGCCCAATGCTTTATAATTAATATGGCAGCACAGCTGGAAAAAGATAACTTTCAAACTAGTATTTTATTCCTGACTCTCAGTGATGTTGGTTTTACTCTTTTGAAAAACAAATGAGGTGGGCATGGTAGCTCAGCAACTGTAATCCCAGCACTCAGGAGGCTGAAGCAAGAGGATCACAAGTTCAAGACCAACCTAGGCCACAAAGCAAGTTTTAGGTCAATCTGAGCTACATAGTGAAACTTGGTCTCAAAAAGAGTAATGAGAGGAATGGCAACTGTTGGGAGTTTTTCCAGGTTCCTCAAGAAGAATTGAATGAACATATTTAAAGTTATATAAAGTAAATTGATATGTACATATTCCACAAATGTGGATGTAGGTGAATAAAGGCATAGTTACTACATGCAGCAGAAAGAGGCCTGGTGTGGAAGATAGAGGACTCTAGACTTGATTCTATATAACTTTGGAAAATTCATGGCTATGCTTTGGTTATTAGTCTCTTGAACTGTAAAATGATGGCCTTGGACTAGGTCACTTGTAAAGTATTTGCTAGCTATTAGACTCCTGATTCTCTGGCTTTGAAGCTATGTACCTGTTTCCTTCTCACAAAGTCCTCTGTCTCTAGTTGCCCTCATCAGTAAGCTAGCCTTCGAAGTTTTGCTCACATATCTCTAGTAATAAGGGCTCATTCCTTCTAAAGGTAGCCTTTTCCACATTAGGCAGAATTCCCAATTGTCAGAATCCCTTGCTTCTTCTGTGTTGAACTCTTCTAAAAGTCCCACAGAAATGTCTAGTAGTCACATCCTGCTCTCTCCCCCTTGACAGATTGTTAAGTTTCTAGATAGGACCAAAATATAAGCAAGTAGTATATAAATGGCTGTAATTTTTTAAATGGATTTGGGATTATCTGACTGACTCATGTAGCTCACAAAAGCTCCTCCAAGTATTCAAATTTTGTTGCTTTTTAGTACCGCAGTACATTGAAGGCACTTTGACAAATTCTCACCAGTTTAGCCAATATTTGTTAAATTAGGTATCCTGTTCATAATTAGGTATCCCTCCTACTTATTCAGTGCTTCAGTGTTTAACCACGAACAAGGAGACTTAGAGGTCAAGACAAGATTCTTGTTGTTTTGTCCAGACTTTGCCTTAACATATAAATCTGATGATCAATAAACCAATTAGTGTAAAAGGCATTCTTGATGTTAAGATCAATGTCTTTGAAGGTAGTGGGGGCTCTACAACTGAACAGGATTTATTTATGACAGTGAAGCAGGTTTGAAGAGAAGGCCACAGAGGCTTTATCTTGCTCATGCAGTCTCTTTGTATGCTCCCATTTGATATAGCCTAAAACTAGCTAGGAATCGAGACAAACAAGAGGCAGGCATCATAAACAAGACCTCTTTATAAGGCAGAGTTGGCACTTCTAGTTATAGAACTCCTTTGTCTTATGACACCGCCTTTGGTGAAACAGGATACAAAGGCCAGTACACCAGATGCCCAAGATTGTACTGTAGAGACATTTAACTCAGAAACAGCTCTGCCCAAGGCAACATCAACTCTGACCTCTGAAGCCAGCTCTCTATGGCTGTAGATATGTTGTGCAATTTTGGAAAATTTGCTGCATTTCTAAGATACAGGTTCTTGCTCAGAATAGGAGAGGGTTGAATGGAAGCCTCAAATGCCTTTAAGGATAGCATCCCAAAGTTCCCATTCTGTGGCCTTCAGATTTAGTAGCTAGCCCTCCGGGGAATGATTTGGGTCTAAATTTGAGTAAAAATCCTTGAGATGTTTTTGCAACAAACTCAGCAGCTTCTTTTACTTAGACACACAAAGTAATGAACCCTAACTTTTATGATATCTAAGCCCAGGACATAAGCCCTAGATTTTAAGTGTTCCCCAGGGATGTGGACAGGTTGCAGATGATGTCCTCATAGAAGTCCTCCTGAAATACTAAGGACTTAGAATGCTGGCATCAAAAATGCCCTCTGAAATGATCTAATCCAAATGAAGATACTCCTGATACAGGAAGCTGACTTGAAAGGATCTCAGGAAAAAGGCCTGAGCTTAGGTGGTTTCTGCAGCCTTAGGAAGATCCTCCTGCCCCTGATGCATTGAGATGCATTGTGGCTACAGCATGTTTCTGTGTGTAGTAACTCTTACTCTCTCCCATCTCTCATCTCCGAAGTTCTCATTGTTAGAGAAATCCAGACCTCCTCCAGCTCTGCAGTTCTGCTTCCTATCCCAAACTTCTAGAGACATAAAGCAGGCTCTAACCAAGCCTTTCCTTGGCTGCCACGGCTGTTTAGATACTGATTTGTATTCTGAGTGTGTATGTCTCGTTTCATAACATGAAAAGGGGGAAACATTCTCCGACAAGGTTATTCTTAGATGCAGAAACCAAATTCTACCGCATTCTCCTAGAGCCTTTTGGTTCTTTTTGTTCACATTACAAAGGGCAGCTCACTTTGTAATGCGGTTACTGTGTGGCTTGGATGAGGTAGTGTACCTTCCCTGGGAAAGCTAGAAATTCCAGAGCATGTTCTCCAGGCACATAAAAGAAAGCTGCCTGTATTGTTGGCTTGTTAAAGAATCGTAAAATTTTAGAATCTTGGAGCCCTGGAGTTCGTGTTCAAACTTGGAACAGACCATATTGTTACAGTCTAGCTCTTGCACCTTGTAGTTTTTTAAGAGCAGTCCGTGCTCATATGCCCTAGGAGAGGAAGCTTACTACTGTCTCTATGTAGTGAGAAAGTAATAGCCAATTTACATGGGCCCAGTCAGTCATTTAGTTAGTCAGTTCCCATGCTGCTTGCAACCACTGCTCTTGTACGTAGTGCATTTGGGGACAGGTGGCTTCTGATTCATGGTGTCCTGTATAGAAAAGACACTAAATTGTGGCAGGATCCTCCACATCTTTATTTTGGCTTTTGTTTTTTATTTGCTATACTGGAGATCAAACACATAGCTTTACTAAGATGCTGCCACTGAAGCTACATCCCCAGCACCCTCACATCTTGTTTTTTACCTTTAAATTAAGGGTCAGTAAAATTTCTTAAAAGAACCAAATAATAGATGCTTTAGGTTTAAGGGTCATGTAGTCTCTGTAACTACCATTGTGGCAGGAACAGGTTGTCCAGCCTGGTGGTTGGTGCAAGCCTATGCTCCTAGCTATTGGGGGGCGGTGGGGGTTGGAGTACGAAGATTGAAAGTTTGAGGCAAGACTAAGTTAGAAAGTAAATTCAAGGCCAGCCTAAGCAATCTAATAAGATCCTATCTTAAATAAGATTAAAAAGAGGACTGAGGATATAGTCCAGTGATAGAGTACATGCCTAGTATGTGGGAAACCTCAGGTACACACACACATGAACCCTTACACACTGGTTCTGTAGTAAAACAAATTTGTAAAGTCTTTTACATATTCTATCTTAGAAATTCATCATTTACACTATTATTAAAGACTTTTCCTATCTCCTCCTAAAACTAAAGTCTAGAGATTTGGCATTATTTACCCAAGTTTGGAAGAAAGCCAGACCTAAGCCCACATCTCTTTTCTTTCAACAAAAGCCTGCTCCACCCTGCACCATCCCCAATCCTGTCCTGACTTGTGAGCCCTACTTCTATCCGTCCTTCTGAGATACAGGCATAGCCTAGGTTCTAGGTCACTGTGTGTCTTCCTGATTTCTAACTTCAGGTGTTTGGGCAGAGGTTTCTCCCAGCCACAAGAAAGAAGAAAGGCCAGCTTTACAGAGCAATTTTCAATATCCTAGAAGATAAGGATCTCTGAGTAGTGGTTTTGTTTGTTTTGGTTTTTGAATGTTTTTTTTTTTTCCTTCAAACTTGTGAAGAGCAAGGGAATATGATCGTTGAAGCTCATTAGTGGGAGATAAGAGAAGAAAAGGAGAGAGAATGAAGTGCTCAGGATACACATGTGTGACCAGCTTGGGCTTCATAATGAGACCCTGACTCAAAAACCAAGGAGTTAGAGAATAGGGGAAGCAAGACAGAGAGAGATAGAATCGACAACAGAAAATATCCTGAGATGCTAAGTGAGGAACCAGAACATAGCAAAAAGAAATGGGCATCTAGGGCTGGAGAGATGGCTCAGAGATTAAGAGCACTGCCTGTTCTTCCAGAGGTCTTGAGTTCAATTCCCAGCAACCACATGGTGGCTCCCAACCATCTGTAATGTTGTCTGGTGCCCTCTTCTGGACTGCAGGGATACATGCAGGCAGAACACTATATACATAATAAATAAATCTTTAAAAGAAAGAAAGAAAGAAAAAGAAAGAAAGAAAGAAAGAAAGAAATGGGCATCTGTCAGTATATATCTGCCTTTCCACACAGGCAACTCAGAACTCCAGGTTGTCTGTCAGCGTAAAGGGCCCAGTAGAGACTATTTGGTTCTAGCTTCTGTTTTGGATGAAAGCCCTGAAACCCAGAGAAATAAAAGAGCCCCAAATCATGCTTGTAGCCCTGTTCACCAGGACTGAGGGAGCTGCCTGGGGCTGTAGCTCTGGGGTGGAGCTCTGTTCTCTTATCTGACCTCACTTGTGTTTCCAGCTGGATTCAACCCATTCTTGTTTGAGGAATTGGTACAGGGTGCCTGCTGCCTTCAAGCAATGCTATTCTGCCAACTAACTAGAGGTCTCTTTTATTGCCTTGGTACAGGATATACTGCAGGGACACCATACAAGGTCCCACCGACCCAGAGTAATACTGCTCCACCCCCCTACTCCCCATCACCCAACCCCTATCAGACGGCCATGTATCCAATCAGAAGTGCCTACCCCCAGCAGAATCTGTATGCCCAGGTAGGTACACATGGAGGACCTCTTGTGCAGGAGCCTCCAGCAAGGATGGGGTGGCATGGGATGAGGAAGAGAAAAGAGTTAATGGGTCTGGCCAGCTGTCATCACTGAAGCAATATTCCTGCAGGACTGCCTTCTCTGCCTCACTTCCAAAGGGTGAAGCATGAAGTCATTTAGGTTAACAGAGCCCCAGATGCTGGAGGACCATTAGAAATCATCTAGCTCAACTCCTTTGTTGAACAAGTAGAGAAGCTGAGACTGCAGAGGAGAAAGGCTTGTCTGAGGTCACACAGTGAGTTATTGGCTGGTTCAGGCTGTGCTATCACTTGTCTTGATCTTCCCTCTTTTAATCTCACACCTCCCTTGATAAAATCTATGAGCCAAGTAGGAAAGAAAAATAATATCCAGTGTCTGCTACCAGTGCCCACTGTGACCTAAGGCGAGTGATTCTTTTGTTTGTTTGTTTTGGGGTTTTGTTTTTGTTTTTCGAGACAGGGTTTCTCTGTGTAGCTTTGGAGTCTATCCTAGCACTTGCTCTGTAGACCAGGCTGGCCTCGAACTCACAGAGATCCGCCTGCCTCTGCCTCCTGAGTGCTGGGAGTAAAGGCATGCGCCACCAATGCCTGGCACGAATGATTCTTTAGTATGTCTTATTGGACCCATTTGGATTTCTTCTGCTGGAGAATGTGTGTAGCTGATAGGAGGCAAGAGGGAAGCACCATTTGAGACTCCAGCATGGCACATTCTTCTGAAGTGACAATTCTACATGAGGTATAAGTGGTAAGGGAAGATTTGGAGTTTAAACCCAGCTTTGTTGTCAGGCAGTGGTGGTGCATGCCTTTAATCCTAACACTCAACAGATAAAGGCAGGCCTGTCTGTCCAGTTCAAGGCCAGCCTGGTCTACAGAGCAAGTTCTGGGGCAGCCAGGACTACATAGAGAAAACCTGTCTTGGGAAAAATATAAAAACAAAACAAAACAAAACCCAAAACTAGCTATACTGGTGCTGGAGAGATGGTTGGTGGTTAAAAGCACTTGCTGTTCTTGCAGAGGTCCTGGGCTTGATTTCCAGCACCCACATGGCAGCTCACAGCCATCTGTAACTCCAGTTTCAATGGATGCAATGCCCTCTTCTGGCCTCCATGCAAGTGGCACACAGACACACATGCAGGCAAAACACACACACACACACACACACACACACACACACACACACACACACACACACACACACACACACACACGTATTTAAACAACTAATAGAAAACATTTTTTTAAAAAGCTGTGTGGTGGTGGAGCACACCTTTAATCCCAGCACTTGGGAGGCAGAGGCAGGTAAAGAAAACATTTTTTTTTTTAACTAGCAATGTTGCAGAGTATACTACAAAACTGGGGCATGACAACATGTGCCTTTAATTCCAGTATTGGGAAGAAGTTCAGGGTCATCCTCAGCAATAAAGAAAACATTTTTTTTTTTTAACTAGCAATGTTGCAGAGTATACTACAAAACTGGGGCATGACAACATGTGCCTTTAATTCCAGTATTGGGAAGAAGTTCAGGGTCATCCTCAGCTATATAGTGAGTTCAAGACCAGTCTGTCTGGAAAATAAATAGGTAAGTAAGTAAGTAAATAGAAAAACAGGAAGTTTAGATCAATTTTTCTCCAGTATGGTATAATATCTTAGCCTATGCTGTCTAACCTCTAAGGGTACAGCGAGACTTTTATTATTCACTATTAAAGCCAGAGAATTTCTGGATTAATCTCAGATGCTTCTGTCTGCTCCCAGAGCTCAGGAGGCTGAAATGTAGCACCTGAGAAGAGTCATGTGGTCTGGGAAGGGCAACATCACTTCAGACTACTGTCTCCCGAGACACCTTGGGAAATGCTATCCAATAATGACATAACAAACATAAATCAACAACATTCACACTGGTGTATGAATGCCATTAATAATGCTTCTGCCTGTGTGGCAGTGTTCTGGTGTCCCCATGCTCAGAAACTCACTGTGTTCCTTACTGTTAAATTAGGGGCAGCTTATGGACATGCCTTAGAATCAAATTTTGAAAATTTTTAAATGTTAAAACCAAGGTTAAAGGAGAAAAGCTCTTACTAATTCTTCATAGTCACCTTAGGGGTGCAGCAAGATGGAGTGAAGAGGGCCTTATTTTTCACACCAAGCTAAGCCACAGCACTGAACTGACCCCAACTGCAGAGTAAGACAAAGCAGAGCCTCCGCCTAGACTTGTTTCCCTAGGCCAGAGCTTCTGTTACCTAGTTGCTTAAAGCCTGGGGAAGGCAGCTTCTCACCCCCCCCCATCCTTCCTACTCTGTCCAAGAACCTGTGTGACCTTAGTCTCTCTTCCCAGGGAGCCTACTACACACAGCCTGTGTATGCTGCCCAGCCCCATGTCATCCACCACACCACAGTTGTCCAGCCCAACAGCATTCCCTCTGCCATCTACCCAGCCCCTGTTGCTGCTCCCAGGACCAACGGTGTGGCCATGGGCATGGTAGCAGGCACCACCATGGCAATGTCAGCAGGTAAGCGCAGCACCTGCCTAAGCATCCTTTTCTGTCTTTCAGGAATTTCTCACACTGGAGAACAGTCATGGTGCTGGCCGCAGCTGGCATGAGAAATCATGTTCCAGGGCAGCAGGCTTTCCAGGAATCCAGGGAGGGGACCTTCTAAAATTTAGAAATTCAGGGTCTAATTTAGAGTCTGAATTGTTTGAAGGGATAAGGAAGATTGCACACAAGGTGGCCATATTGAGAATGGCCTTGTGTAGTGGGTAAATGGAGGCCAAACAGAAGAGTCAAAGTATGGCACATTCACAGGGTGGGAAAGTGTGGCACATTCACAGGGTGGGAAAGTGTGGCACATTCACAGGGTGTGTGGCACATTCACAGGGTGTGTGGCACATTCACAGGGTAGAAAAAGGATTAAGGAAACGGGGTTGAGAGTGGAAGGGTGGCTGCACCACCGGTGAGGATATGGTTCTGGAAAGGCTTGAATGCTTTCAGGTGAGGGAGCTAAAAGAGCTTGCAGCAGGGGAGAGACAGGGTGGGGTTTGAACTGGCTATAGGCTGGATCAGGAGAAATTACGTCAGAGATGCTAACAGTAGGCCTCCAGTGGCAACAAGGAGCCCAGGGAAGAACACACAGGCAGTTAATTAGGCAAGAGTATAAGGACCATCCCCATCATGAATTGTGAGAGCTGAGAGGAACAGGAGTCCCTGAAGACCCTTTCTGGTGGTAAGACCTGCCCTTAAGGAACCCTAGGGATAAAGGTGGGAAGTGTAGCCTTAGAAACATTAGCACTCCCATGAGGTGCATGAAAATCAGAGGGTTGTGACTACCTTACAGAAACCCAAGTTTTAAAGAACCAGCTAAGTTTGCCATCTGAAGGAAGAGGATAGCATGATTCTCAGTACACAAACAAGCTACTAGGTACTTGCTCAGTGCCAGTCTATTCTTAAGGACTTGGGGAGAAAAGCTCTTTAAGGCAGAACAGAGCCCTGCCCTTAAACTCTAGGTGAGTGTATGTAGAAGATAGAACCAGGAAAGATAACAGTCCCTACTCAACATGTGTGCAATAAGAAAAGCATGCAAATAAAAGGGAGATTTCCTAAGAATAATGATTCTGTCTTCCAGCCTCCCAAAAGACCACTCACCCTAAGGAGGGGAAGCCTGAAAAGGTGGAGAAAGGATGGTGCTAACCAGGCAGTCTAGGGTAATAGGGACATGGACAGGAAGAACAACCTTGTAACAGACTGTTTTCCTCCTCTCTATCCTCGTACCCATGTTATGGGTTAGAGGTTACTCAGGTTTCCTCTTTTCTCTCAATGCCCAGGTACCCTGCTGACCACACCCCAGCACACTGCAATTGGGGCGCACCCCGTCTCCATGCCCACGTACAGGGCCCAAGGAACCCCCGCGTACAGCTATGTGCCCCCGCACTGGTAAAGCCTGCAGCCCATCCAAGTGAGTAGGGCCAGGAATGGGGGAGAAGGGAGGAACACATGCAGGAACTGAGTGTGGAGCAGGTGTCATAGAAGCAGGTACTTGTTACCTGCTCCAGGTTCTTTAATGTCACTCTTAATACTAGCTATCACTTTACAAACATTACAGTCCTCATGGCAGTTCTATTTTTTAGAAAAATACACAGTTCAAAATCATTTAGCCAATTAAAATTGAGATGGGACTTTAACTCTTGTCCTCTGTTACTGAATTCTGGGCTCTCTGTGGTCTTCAGATGTCTTTTAACTAGAGGCTCAGTTCTTCAAATGAAGTCTTGCCTAAACCATATACCAGCTCTGATTGTAGCCAAGTAAAGACCCTGACCCCAGCTCTTTCAAGCTGTCCTCAGCAGCTCAACATAATTTCCATGGACAGAGAGCCTGCTGCTCCCCTGAGAAGGCATGGAGGGCTGCTTTGGGTCTCCCAAGCTGGGGGAAGGGGGTCCAGAGATTTCTCAAGTGGCCTGCGGAATGTCTCTCTAATAGTGTCCCTTCCTCCCCCAGATCTGGAGTCACATTGTATGCAACTACTCACGTCTTACACCGGTGCTGGAGCAGTCCCCTAGCAGCACCACCTCTATTTGCAAGAAGAGACAAGGAAGTGCAAGGGTCACTTTATGCATCCTTAATGGTTTTGATTTTTACTTTTGGTTTTTGTAAAAGCTGCTTTTTCTAATCTCCTAGGAGCCTCCCCCTCGTGCCTCCCTCTTAGCCACTGCCCTTCTGGCTCTAGCCCCTCTTCCTACCTGACCAGGCCCAGTCCTCTCTGCACTTCTTTCCTTCCCTAAGCATCCTGTCCCTGGGATCCCAGTCTAGTAGCAAGCAGAGAGTGAGGTTTATTGCGATGGTTCATCTAAAGGCTAGATTTCATTTGGAGAGCATAACAGATGTGGCCCTCAGGTCTGGGGTAGGAACTTGGAGCTATCAAGGAGGCCACATCTCTGTCAGATTGTCATTTTGCTAAAGCAAGATTAGTTCAAATACAAAGAAATATCTTCTGAGAACCATCGCAACAGACCAAGAACAAACCACCTGGTTATGTAGGAATGTTATCAGCAGCTTCATGTCCCCAGGCTCAGAGCCTGGGAAAGCAGAGAATCTGGGGAGAGGTGGAGGGAGGTGGGGAACTGGGGATGTAGTATGAAGAAAGGGCAAGAGGGTACTCAGCTCTGGTTTGAAAGGTCTCTGGCCATGTTGCTGGCCAGGACCTTGTGATTTGCACAGTGATGTTAACTGACCTGGCACTTCCTCCAGAGATGCTTTGACCTCAGACCTGCCAAACAGTTGCATGGTGGTGGGATCCCAGCATCCAGAGGGTTTGGAAGGCCAGGTGCCTGCATAATCCCACTCAGCCCGAGCCTCGTGGACCCACTCTGAGGAGCTTCCTTCTCAGAAGTGGAACTAGTGGTATTTCTCTCCCTTGCCCTTCTGCCCTTCCTAGTGCCGGGGCGCACATGTCTGTCTGTGGGGCTGGCAGGCAGGCCAAGCTCTTGGTTACCTTGTGCCATTTCACGGCCAAAGTGAATGAACCACATTCCAGGTGGGAGCTGGCGGTTCTGAAGGTCAGGATAGTGAAGGAAAAACAATAGCAATAATCATTTCATACTCATGGAACTGAAGGGACCTTAGCATTCATCATCTCATCCATTCCCCTATTTGACAGATGAGGAAACTGAGGCCCAGGGAAGCAGAAAGGACTTCTCTGAACCTCATAGTAAATTAGCATTAAATGCAGCCTTCCTACCTACTGGCATTTTGCCTATAAAAATTTAGCAAGGGATGGATTGGCTTGGCTCTGTAAAAATTTTAAGTCAGCAGTGCCCACATCTGGTGAGCTCTGGAATGACCTCTGGGCTGCTTTCTGCTGTTTTCCCTCATGGACTCCACAGGTGGGGGTTGAAGACTAGGCTGAGGCCACATAGGGCAGATAACAGGAACAGAAATGCATTTGGAAAGCCTGTGAAGACATCTGGAATGTTTATCCTGAACCTGACTCCACCTCTAGGAAAAGAAGCAGGTGGGCTGGCTGGAAGAGAGTAGCCCTTTATCTCAAGAAGAGAGGAAGAATGGGCGCCACCAATAAACGAGGACAAGGATGAGGCCAAGCAGTACAACCACATCTGGGAGAAGAAAGGGGACTCCTGGGACAAGGAAGTCCTTCCTAGTTTCAGCCAGCCACCTTCCTGTGCCCAGCTAGCAGAGCCAATAGCCTCACTGGGTGGAAAAGGAATACCTTACTGTGTAAAATTGGATCACTGGTAACATTTGAGACTCTGAACTATTTTCATTTTAAATTCATGTGAACTTGAACATCACATTCCTCCAATTTCCTATGCTCCCCTAAAGGAATAAAGAAAAAAAAAAAAAGGAAGCCCTTGAGCTAGAGTGACCTCAGAAACAGCCTGACTGTTCCCAGGAGGTCAGAGTTCATCGTATCTGTGGCAGAGAGCCAGAAGTTAGGGCTCCTACCTTCCTGGCCTTCTAGGAACTTCAGGACCAGGAAGAGAGACTCGGCTGCTCTGGGGTGCTGACAAGGGTTTCTTTTAAAACACAGTTTTCCAGTGTTGGTCTGCTTTTTACAATGCCTCCTCCTACCCTCTTTGGTTTTGTAGAGGTGGATGAAGGTTGCTGTAGATTATGTCTTATATGTTTGAAAAATGCCAAAATAATAATGGCGGTAATAATTACAGGATACCTTTGCACGTGTCAGGTGCTTCATAGATGTCACCGCACTTCACGGCCTAGGATGAACTGGCCCTGAGAGCAAACCACAGGGTCAGTTATTCCACCCCCTTGACAAATGTGGAAACAGATTCTAGACGGAAATGAAAGGGCCCAAAGTGAGGAATCCTGGAGGCTTCCTAGACCCTGTGGCCTTCAGGTGACCTGACAGAGGAGAAAAAAGGAGACCTAGGAATGAATGGCCTCTTAACGTTTGTTCTTTCCACACCAGTATGTAAACACTGTTTGTACCCCTCACAGTTCATGTGGTTTATCCCTGAGATAAAGGCATGGTGTCTGCTATTTAATGATAGCAAACCCAAGGCTCAGAAAAGGACAGGGACTTTCTGGTAAGGAATCCTCTGCTGGCTCTAGTCTCTCCGAGTCTGATCCACACACCGCTTCATGTTCTGAAGCATTTATGCTCTGTACCCATCTTAGACATAGTCTGCGATTCAAGATCAGAAAGACCCCAAGGTGAAAATCAAGTATTGACATGCTGTAGTCTAGAGGAACCAAACCAATTAACCTTTTCTCAGTAGAACACAAGAGCCCCAGTTCAGCTGGCCTCACCATTTTATTTGGCAAAGATCCACAAGTCTGGCCAAGCTTGGGGAATCATAGCAAAGGGACTGAGCCCCAGAGCACAGTGTGTGTGTGTGTGCTTCAAGTTAGGTAAACACAGCTCTGGCAGTGTCATGGGTCCCTAGCAGGAGTACCCTAGGTATCATCTAAAGGTTCTGGATGGCCGAGTAGTCAAAATAGCTGAGGCCAGGAGCTAGAAGGGGCCTCTCACCGTAGGACCAGGGGTGTGCACATGACACCATGAGCTGCCACACTGGCATCACCACACACACACACACACTCCTTATTGACACCCTGCCTCTCCCCATTGCAAAGCTGAGGTAGAGGTGGCTCTGTTTACCAGCCTTCCTTTGCACCATTTAGCCATCTTCATCAACCCTGGGCCAGGAAGTTTGGGTCTGGAAACTGGACTACCACCAGTGAGTGAAAGCTTGAAAGTCTCTTGCCATGCTTTACAAACAAATACAACTGTTTTTCTTCCTATGAGATAGAATATCTTTTCCCCAAGTGCATACCCTCTTCCCTGAGTATTCATCAGGGACACACATAGTGTCTGCTATCCAGACCTCCTTTTGTATGTACTATGACACTGATTGCTAAAACCTCGACTTTAAAGATGGGGGTGGGGGTTCATGATGCTCTGAAGGGTAAGAGACTTGCCAAAGGACACATAGCTCATGAGTAAAAGAACCGAGATTTGAAGTAATCTGCTCTTCCTGCTGGGTCTCTTGAGTGTAAGTTTGTCTGGAGAAAGAAAGGGCTACTTGCTGCCTCACACAGAGGAAGAATTTATGGAGACTTGGGGGAGCTCCTGTCTATCAGCTGGGCAGATTTTTGAGAATTTCTGCTTTAGGCTGAGACATGCAATGGGTCCTGGAGACCCAGAGGTAGATCCAGCTGAGAAGTTGCCACAAAAGACCTAACTCAGAACATCAAAGGTGACACTGCCCAGTACTGAAGATAATTGAGGTCAATGCCAGGCATCTTTGAGCAAGGAGTCTTGCCTCTGGGAAGCCTGTACTGTACACAGCTGCTGTCTGACTCCTGTCTAGATCCAACAAGGCACTTCAAGGAACATGGCATAAGCCTAAACTCCTGAAAGCACGTCTAGACTGGAGTCCTCAGGTTTGCTTGTTCACCAGTGAGCACCAGGTCCCAGGCTGTGTGTATCCCAGTGCTTTCTGGCCATCTAGATGGTTCCATGTTTAAGACCTAGAGGTTTCTTTGGAAGGCTTGATGCTTTGTCTTGAATAGCCTTCAGAAATGAGTCATGGGGAGCACAAAATAGGACAAGTCTCTTGGTCACCAATTGTGATATCCTTATTACAGACATGACACATCAAACAAGGCATTGGCTGAAGCTGGCTTAGTTCCCTACATATCAGATATCTTGCCCCTGCTATGGGCTCTGTGGTCTTCACAGCATTCTGGCTGGATCAGTCATCCCATGTGTGACTCATGTTCAGCGAGCTATGCCTTTCCATCTTGTGTTAACCACGTCAGTGCCAAGTATGTAACCCCTAGTATCTTATCAAGCTTGGGAATCTAGAGAAGGGCTGTCAGGGTAGGAGTGGACAAAGAGGAGCAAATCAGTGGGAGGGAGAAACTTAGCCAGGCTCACTGGTCATACGATATCTCTGGACAGACTTCTATGAATATTCCAGACTGTCCTTCCCTACCCCTGCTCCCTTTCCGAGAAAAAACACTGGTAAAATCTGGCATTATGTAGTTCCACAACTCAGCCTTCCACATTCCCAGCAGCCCAGCTTAAACATTCCATGGCCAGACTTGCCTGAGCCAGACTTGGGTCCCACTCCCTCAGTTTCTCCTCTGGGCATTTCCTAATTCATCAACTGTTGATGCCAGTCAGAAGGCCAGCCAAGAACAGGAGTTGAAACTGGTTGCCACAGAGCCAAAGAGGGACATAGCAGCACCTGCTTCAATGTGGCAGCTATATCAGTAGTCCTTAGGTATCCTTGCTGTAGCAGTGTGACCCTTTATCCATTCCAGCCTGAGGGTCAATTTTCTTTCCCAAGGGAACAGATAAAACAGCTTTACAGATAGCAGCCCACAGGAATCAAAAGAGTGAAACCTGCTTTGGGCTTAACCCTAGCATCTTCTATCCTTGACCCCAGCTCAGCCATCCTCCTCATGCATGAAAGTCAGACTAAACAGTAGGATTGGCCCAGAGACCTCAGGTCAGCCAAATTGACTGGATCTGTCTTTTGAACCATGCTCCTTACAAGGTGAGGCAAGGCCAGGCCTCCTGTACCTTGGAGTTGTCTTTGATCTTTGAAGGCCCAGGGCCTGTCCCCTTCCTGTCTTCAAGGCATCTGCATCCCTCTTTCATATCACATGACAGAGAAGCTTGTTCTCATGGCATGTAACATCCCTGTGAAGAGAGCGTTGTGTATGATTTTGTATTTTTTAATTCATTTTAACCTACAGGTTGGAATCTAATTTTTAAATTTTATTGGAACTCACATTTTAAAAACAAATAAAAACATTGAAAAACAATAATAATTATAATAATAAACCTTTGACCAGTGTCTTCCAAGTAGTTTGATCAAATAATTTATAGGTGTTTTCAAAACACAGCCTGGAGTGTAAAGATTGGAAAGCCCTGTGGCCACACTTGTGTGTATGAAGTGTAAACTTGGCTTTGTTGTTTTGGATTCCTTTGGGTTTTGTTTTGTTTTGTTTTGAAGATCAGATAGTGATCATTCTGAAAGGCTGAAGCCAAGAGTTTGTAACTATATGATATTTACTGTAAGCTGTAGAACATTCAACAACTATTAAAAAAAGTTTCCCAAAAGAAAAAAAAACAAAAAACAAAAAACAGAAAGTGGTTCTTGGGTGAGGGAGGCACAGACCACCTTGGGCCAATGAGTCTCTGCATTTCTCCCCCAGGCAATTCTAAGCTTCTTTTTAACTAAGTACACACCTGGTACCCCAGTGCTTTGCAAACTAAGGTTGGATTGCAACATGAAGGCTGTGTCTCAAATCCTGGGGAGATGCTAAGGGTTAGAACACTGGCTGCTCTCACAGAGGAACAGGGTTTGAGTTCAAAGACCCACAGCACAGTGATTCGAAACCATCCATAACTCCTGTTCCAGAGGATCCCATGCTGCCTTCTGGGCTCTGGGGCACCAGGCACACATGGTACATTTACACGCAGGCATTCATACACATAAAAATACACACACAAGAGAAAGACTGACTCAAAAAAGAAAACAAGCAATCCTGTGCTACTTGTCTTCTCAGGACTACTGGATCAGGCAGTGTATGGATGCTGTGGAGTGTCAGGTTAAGCACCTGGACCAGATAATATGATGGAAACCCAGGGAAGCTGTTAAAGAGCTAACATGTAGGCTGGAGTATTGCTCAGTGGTAGTGTGTGTGGGAGAGACCCTGCAGCATAAAGAAGATGGAAAACAACCTAAAAAAACCCTGCCATTGTTGAGTGTCTTGTGGCTCTCACTTTTGCTTGTTGATCTTTGAGGTCATCATGTTTTGCTGCAAGAGAAGCTCTGCTGTTTGTCCCACATGGAAGGGCTGGGAGATCAGTTTTGGTAAAGTTGGAATTCATACTTGGTCTGGCTACAGAACCCAGGTACTATAGTCCATGTTCTGCCCATCTCAGGGGTGTTTTCCCTCCCTCTTTTTAAAGACTTATTTATTTATTTATTATGGTGTTTTGTCTGCATGTATGCCTGCAGGCCAGAAGAGTGTACCAGATCTCATTACAGACAATTGTGAGCCACCGTGTGGTTGCTGGGTATTGAACTCAGGACCTCTGGAAGAACAAGCAGTGTCTTAACTGCTGAGCCATCTCTCCAGCCTGGAGTTGGTTTCTTGAAGGGTGGAGTGTCAGGAAACTAAGGGGAGTTTGGTGGCTTATTGCAGGGACATTGACGTCCACAGGGCCTTATACAAGCAGTCATTAAGGACTCTATTTTCTCCTGTCCCTTCAGGGTGATGCTGCTGCTAATGCTGCTCAGGCTTTGTCTTAAGTGTTACTTTCCTATTGTGACCAAAGCAACTTACACAAGAGTTTATTGGGGTTTAAAATTTCAGAGGTCCATAACTATCATGGGGAACTGGAGCAGTAGAGAGCTCACATCTTTATCCAAAAGTAGGAGGCGGCAGGTGGGAGAGAACACATAGGAGCTACCTAGGAATGGCATGCGCATGGGCTTTTGTAAACTCAAAGCCTGCCCCAGTGACAGTTTCCTCCAACAAAGCCACACCTCCTCCTAAACCTTCTCAAACAGTTGCCCTAAACTGGGGATCAAGTATTCAAATAAAGGAGCCTTATGGGGCCATTCTCATTCAAACCACAACAAGTTTTCTTAGGCCACCCAACCACTTTTCTTTCTCAGTGCCTG